AGTAGAGCTTTCTTATAACAGTATCATCATCATCATAACAAAGCCAGAAACACTACATTGCTTTGCACTGGTGTCCCCATGACTATGATATACTACTAGTTCCTCCTATATATCTTTCCCGGGTTGGTGAACTTGAGCTGCTGACTACTGGTGGGCTGGTCGCCGCGTTCTTCTGGACTTTGAGATGTGAGCGAGAGCGGCAACTACGTCTGTAATCTGAGGTCTCTGGCTGGCTGTTGTATTCAGGCACATTCGAGCAACGGAAAGGACCTGGTATAATGATGTCATGCTGTACTGATTACCAAGCGTTGGATCCGCCAACATTGCAAAATCCCTCCTATTGATCAAAGGGGTGGCCTGAAATTATACACCAACAAAAGTCACAACAATTAATCTTCATCGCAGAAAGAGAAACTCGTTTTACTTTTTAGACAAGGGTACTTAAGATGTACATTGAAGGAGCAAACAAAAACTATATATGTTTCTGTCTAGTGTAGGCCAAACCTATTATGGCTTCCATATGAGGAATTATGGAGAAATGCCAAGAAGAATCTTATCTCAGCAGTGGCAAGACCAAATGTAACAAAAGAAGATAATAAATCTATGCTAATCAAATGATTAAAAACTACTGATAAACTTATGATGCTTCTACCAGTTTTAAGAAGCAAATAGAAATCAGAACTCACCAAAGATATACCAGGTAACACAATATTGTCCTTGGTACAGACATTATAGCATTGGGGAGAAGCAAGGAGTAGTTCTACAAAAGAAAAAGAAAAAGCTGGAAGTGATGCTTACCCATTCAGCAAGGCTACGCTCAGCTCTGATTCGACTCTGATCTAAAGCTTTTCTTCCTGTGATAACCTCCAGTATGACAACACCAAAGCTGTAAACATCTGACTTGGTAGTCAACTGACCGCTCTCAAGATACTCCGGCGCACAATACCCAGGTGTACCCATCACTCTAGTTGAAACATGAGTATCGTCACCAGTCGGACCTAGCTTTGCCAAGCCAAAGTCGGCTAGCTTTGCATGATATTCCTCGCCAAGCAAAATATTGGCGCATTTCACGTCACGGTTTATGACAGGAGGGTTGCAGATAACATGCAAATGCTTCAGGCCCTGAGCTGCCCCAGCAAGTATCTTCATCCTTGTATTCCAATCAAGAGGTTTCTTATCAGGGGGGAGATCTAGGAAGATAAAAAACAAAATTAAATTTTGGTTAAACAAGCTGATCTAATTATTCTTGCAACAATATATATAAAGAGAAAGACACACACACACACACACACACACACACACACACACACACACATATATGGTAGTTTAACATACCAAAAATATGAGTTTCCAATGAACCCAGAGGCATGTATTCATAGACTAGAAGCCTCTGGTCATCATCAGCACAGAAGCCAACAAGCTTGACGAGATTCGGGTGATGCATCCTGTTCAACACCATAACTTCTGTGCAGAACTCTTTGTTCCCTTGCAATCCATTGGGGTTGAGAATCTTTATAGCAACCTGTTGCAGCACATACAAGCGGATCATATACTACACCATATCCTCACAAGCCTCACTTTTCATAATAAAACAACCTCAGTAAACCATAGCATAGATCATCGACCACATTAAAAAATACGAAGCAAAATGCTACTGCGATCCATTCTTGAACTCACCACATCAGTTTAACTTCTCATCACACTGTCGTTCATGTGACCAACACTTTAGCTAGAAAATATCTTCCGAGTTTAATATATCATCGAACATGACTGCAATTCCAATTACTAAACTGCCAATAGAACGCATTAACTCACCTCGTTGCCGTCTAGAACACCTTTATAAACCTTTCCGAACCCACCCTCTCCCAGAAAGTGATCTCGTGGGAAGCCCAATGTCGCCGCATTCAGCTCCTTGTAGGTGAATGATAGGCGATCGGCATGCGGACCAGGGCTTGAGATGAACTTAGTGCGCACGGCCCCCTGACTGGTCTCTAATCTTGACATCTCTGCAGAAACAAAATAGATGCACCACCAGTGTAGTTGTCAGCTATCACATGAAAAAGCCTAAACACTTCCATTACCGAGAACAAAACCCGTTTATGTGGGAAGTTATGAATCAGCAAAAAGGAACCGAACAAATTCCAAGTACTATGCAACAACAAGGTTTATTGTAAATAGAAAAGTCAAAATGACAGAAATAACACAATTCTTTACTCAACAATATCCATGTCGAAGCAACCATGTAATCTTTTGATTTGTTTTTGAGTAAAGTATAGATGCATGGGGTTACCCAGTAATTGGACATAGTAATTTTATGGGTAGACTCCCAATTTTTTTGAAAAAACAGCAAGTGGAAATAGTAATAAATCAAGACAGACATGTACACCTAGTAATACACGAGGAACACATAGATGTATACAGTTGTACCTCATTAATAAGCACAATAAACAGGGGCAGCTATAAACGACATGTAACCTGTTTCATTTTACATATCGTACCACACATATTCAAAATTTTATTTTGGTGTCTCACTTAAGTTTTCATCTACATCACCGAATTCCGGGCTTTGCCAACGCACTAATCCAACCATAGCAAGAACAAGGGACACAAATTTGTGCGGGGACATGCATACATCACACATATCATCGCGAGACACAGTGGGATTTGTGGTCCTCCTCATAATAACATTAATTTACTTCCTAAAAGAAAAATTGCCACAATCAAATAACATTTACTCACTAGCTAGTAAAATAATGTGCAATTTCAAGGCCCAGAACAGCACTTTCTGTTCTAGGAGGTTAGTGGGACGTTTGCTCTGTTTTGGTCGGCGTCACCGCCACCTCCACGATGGTTGTGTAGGTTTTGGGCCACTTTGGCGATCTTAAACCAAATATAGAAGACCTCAAGACTGTGCTCTGACGTGTGTTTTTTATAGAAAGGAAGAAAGAAGAAGCCCTAGGACCACAAGTTCATGGCGAAATTAATTACTCAATCGGTTGAAAATATACTGTATGCCGCGAGTATATTTTGTCCTGCACACAGACCAATGGGATACTAAATGACTAGTAGAATGCACCTAATTATTATCCTGATTTATTATAGAATTAACTATATTCGATGTACCACTACATATTTTTCTACCGGAATAAGAAAAACGTCATGGTACATTAGCGAACAAGACTATTATCGCCCTGCAAACTTGAAAGTTGAAACAGAGAGAGTAGCCGATTGGTAAGAAAGTGAATTGAAGTATCCAAAGGTGCAAGAATTTCTTGATGGTATATCTGCACGCATCCAAAGAAGAGCACATGCAAAGATCAAAGAAAGGAGCGCATGAATCTTGTGCGGTTTCAGGGCCGAGAAGAGAAGCACACTTTGTTGGCGCAGTCAGTTACTTAATCGTGAAGAAATGAACCTACACGAAATCCTAATTCCCAAGAATGCCCAAAAATTGCGAGAAAGCATTGCGGCGTCGCAAATTGAGGGAACGAACACGGGCACGGCCGCCCATGCCATGGCACTATTCCGTAGACATTTCACGAACCAAACATCAAGTGAAGAAGCCACGGGATCAACCCTCGCTCATAGACCACCGACGTCAGTAACCAACCGAGAACCCGATCAGCCGCACGATACCAAGAGACTACGTCGAGCGGCGGGGCCAAACTAGCAAGCCGCCGCGGCGGCAAAGAACCGGCGTCAGGGGAGAAGAAGAAGAAGGAGAAGAATTCCCGCACCGCAAAGGAAGAGGAGGAAGAAGGAAGAAGCCGCGCGCACGTACCAGCTGAGGGCGAGGGCGTGGGCGATGGCGAGGCGGCCGGCGCGATCTGGGACGGCTTCTCCGCGGGCTCCTTCCTCATGTCCCCCGCCGCGGCGCCCTTCTTCTGCGACGAGGTGCAGCACCCCATGGCGTCCCGAGGCCAGAGGCACGGAATGCAGTGGTGAGGGAGGGAGGGAGGGAGGGATGGAAGGGAAGTGAAGTGCGCAGGGTTTGGGAGCCGGAGGTTGGAACGGACGACAAGCGCAGGAAGAATGTGGGGGAGAAACGGACGAGACGAGACGAGACGACTCAGTCCTCCCTTTTGTCCACGACTCCGAGGAAGGAGGGAACTGCTCAACTGTCAGGTGCCGTCTGCTGCCTCCGCCACGGCCCGCCCGCCCCGCGTGACCGTTTTTGCTTCCGTGGACACGCACGCGCACTCTCCGCTACGGTCGATGCGCCTTCGGTCCTACGTTGCGTACTTTCTCCAAGTACGCCTTCCTTTGGACTTCGCTTTTTCTTTGGTCTCTGTGAATTCGCTCAGGCGCCTCCTTCTCCTTCCTTGGCCGCCGCCGCAGCTTGAGGCGGAGATGGAGGAGTACGGCGCGGGGGACCTCCTGAGCGAGGCCATGTGCGCCGGCGGGCGGGTGGTGGTGGTGGAGGACTGCGTGGAGGCGCCCGCCGCCTTCGTCCTCCACCTCCTCCTCAAGCGCGCGCTCGCGGCAGCCGGTGGCGCGGCGCTCCTCGCCCTCGCGCACCCCTTCTCACACTACGACCGCGTCCTCCGAAAGATGGTAAGCGTCCCGTGCTTGCTACCAGCCTTGCCATAACCTAACCACGGTCTCTGTCACACACACACACACACACACACACACACACACACTTGTTACTTAGTGAGTACTGCAGAGTTGTATGTCCTTACTTGAGAAATTATGTAATCGTGTTCATGCTTGCTTCGAGTAATCATCTGTAAATAAATGGGTGGCATTCCATCAGAAAATTTGACAAGGTGATCTGGGTATAGAATCTACTCCTAGTGTCAAAAAACGTCCTACGTTATGGGACGGAGGGAGTAGTATACATAAGTATAAGTTTGCTCTTTTTTTCTTCTTTCTTTTTGCGAAAGATACATAACTTTGCTCTAATCTGAATATGGGACTGAATCCCATACTAAACAATCGCACTTCGAAAGTTTAAATAGGTTCGACTGGGGGGAGTTCACAGTTACGACTGATGATGTTTCACTGCTGGAAGTCGCTGTCGTAAATCTAACTCCGTTGCCGAGCATCATCCATCATAACAGTGAACCATTGGGTTTATGCATAATGCTTCATGTCAGAACTGTATACTTGTGTTGCCAGGAAGCCACTATTGAATGAACTGGCAGCAATAGCTCAATGTCTGTGCCACTTCAGTATTTCAACAACTAGCTCATCCAGAACCACAAGGTCTAGCAAGTTTGCACAAGTTAAATCTAACTTTGTTTACTGCACTGGAAGCTGGACTGACCATTCAGAGAGCGTATATTTTTCGATTTCTACCAGTATTGTGGCCTACTTTAAATGTTGGACGGCTGATGATTTCTTCTCCTGAAATTTTCCAGGGCTGTAACTTGTCCATGCATAGGAAGAGTGAGAGGCTTCATTTCTTTGACTTGCAGGCGTTCCCAGGCAAGACCTTTGAGTACCTTGTTTCTCCAAATGCTGCATCATTGTTAACAAGTCACTGATTTGCATGCTTCTTTACTCAGGTGGAACACGGGGAGGTGCCATTGCTGATAGCTTAGCTCAGCTGTATAGTGGCGTTCAGAGAGTGGTGGAGACATACAGGAGTGGAGAAAATGCAGGTCGGTTCACGGTTATGATAGATGATGTTTCACTCTTGGAAGTTGCTGCCAGTGGTTCTGCAGATGATGTCTTGGACTTCTTGCATTATTGCGTGACACTTACGTCTGAGATGGTAAAACTGAATCTGCCAATCACTGCCAGTACTCTTTCTTCACAGCATATTCACAATTTTTACACCTTGTTTGTGTCTTGGCAGAATTGCTCGCTCGTGGTTCTTATTCATGAGGATATTTATTCAAGTGAGGATGGTGTGGGACTTCTCGCACATCTGCGCTATATTGCGGATCTTGTGATTAAAGCAGCACCTCTGAGCACTGGTTTAGCCGCTGATGTTCATGGACAGGTCAGGTTCTTGATCACCACTCTGCATACTTTAGGTTCTTGGTTTGATTTTTTGAGCCACTATAGATAGCTGTGAATTTGCTCCGGCGAACGTTGGTCTTATTGTGAATGATGGCACTTGGCACCGTCCATTTTATTTTACAGTTGACAAGCGTTTCATTCTTTTCTCAACAGCTGTCAGTAATAAACAAAGGAATGCTCATCGAGCAAAGGCCGGCAAAAGGGCGGAAAGTTTGGAACTTCCATTTTAAGGTGAAGGAAAACGGCGCAGACTTCTTCTACCCAGGGAGCAGACACTAGAACTTTGGGCACCGTAAAGCTGCAGAGCAGATATCACTCAAGTGATGCCATTTGATGCGTCGCTCGTTATGTTGGAAGTTGCCCTGTTTTAAGGAGCATCATGGAAAGGAAACCAGTTTTGCCCGGTTCAGGATTTGCATGGTTCCATCTTTTTTTTGCCATTTTCTAGGCAGCTTGTGTTGCCTTTATTCATTGGAAATGGGGATGTACTCTACATTGTAAACCTTTGATCTGGATTAGAGCAGACACTAGGGAGAACTGCAATGCGAAAACATAAGTACTCCCTCTGTAAAGTAAATAAGACCTTTTAGATCACTAAAGTAAGTAGTGATCTAAAAGGTCTTATATTACTCCCTCTGTAAAGAAATATATGATCTTTTAGATCATTATTACAGAGTGAGTAGAAGTGAAGTGCAACCTTTTGACTTTAGAACACAACCTTGTCAGTTATATCAGCTTGGTCAAGGTTGAATGATTTAACAAGCATTATGTATATACTCCTAGATAGATAGGAGTGACAACTTGGCTACTGGCTTGCTCCTTCTTAAGACTCTTCTTGAGTAAGACTAAGCATATCTATCTCTCCAAGAGAACTGAAGATCGCAAACCATAACGAGGGGTAACATGCATGGTACTGTACTTACTACGACGGATGGCCACATAGATTAGATATTACAAATGTTCATCTTGAGTCGGCCGGCCAGGGACAATAATCATACGGGTGGGTCTTTATTTGTTGAGCACTCTAATGTGAGTCAATAACCTATGTATATGTAGTAACAGACGCTACAGTGGACCAGAAGGGAGGGTCGCGTCATCTGTCTTCTGCTTGGCCTGCCTCATCTTCTTGTCCAGACTGTCGGACGAATTGCCCACGGACACGTGGCCGCTGCTCGGCTAGTCTCTTCCTGCTCTGGTACCGCACCTGAAAATAGCCAAGCGGACGAGGCCGTCAATACAGACCATCAGAAACGTCAAATGCTTCAGCAGATAAAATCGCACTCCCCAAGGCACTATCAATGACATTTCCTACGGCTATGCTGCTATGCTATTCCGTTTAGTGGCCTGCCATTACATTTTTGGAAGCAACATAAAAGCTCGTGTTTCTCTCTCTCTCTTTCTCCTTTTGTTTTGTTTTGAGGAAATTAAGTGTTTCTCTCTTTCAGAAGTAAGAAGTTACTCCCTCCGTCCCATAATATAAGAACGTTTTTGACACTAGTGAAGTGTCAAAAACGTTCTTATATTATGGGACAGAGGGAGTAATATTCATCATCATCATGACATAAACAATGGTTTGCGTCCAACTACTTGGAAAACATTCCTGGTCATTCATACTATACTAAATCAAACTGAAACGGGCCTAATTTTGGAAGTCCCTGCTTTAGAAAGCATGTAGCTGAAAATAGATTTACCTTTTTCCCGAAGTTCCTCTCTTTCCGCTTCTGCCTGAATTTGTTCACTGCAGCTTCTCGTTGGCTGAGCTGATTCTGACATACCATGTCATTGCCACTACCGCTCGGCCCGCTCCCACTACCGGTGCCACCGCCAGCCTCTGTTTTGTCCATGGCACCACTGTCCATGTTTGGCCTTGCAATATTGGGAGCGGAGCTACTTGCGTTTTGCGTATTGCTTCCATTATTGCTGCCTGAGATGCTCCCGTTCACACCATAGTTAGCAGCATGACCTTCCAGGGGTAAATCAGACGCATTGGATGAACCACACCGAGCGTTTGATGCACGGTCAATTAATGTCTGTTGCTGTGCAATAACATGGCGGTAATAGTGTGCATGATGGTGATGCTGCACAGAGCTTTGCTGTGCCTCGCTTGAGTGGCCCACTTTCACTGCATTGACAATTTCTTCAGAAGCTTTGTCCTTGCGTGCCGCGTCAGCTGGTGACACTTGGTGCTGCACCGGATGGAATGCTGAAGTCTGCTGGTTCGATTTAACAAGTGATGGTGACATAACTCTCTCCCTGTCTGTACAAGGCTTTGCAATGGCATTCTTGGTACTGGAGCCCATGTCATTGTTGTTGCTACTGCCATTTGAGCCCTGCTTTATTTGAGCAGCATCTGAATTTGACTCCATCTTGCAGGTGGAGTTCGTTTTCACAGCCTCTGAGCTGTTATCTTGAGGTGAACAGCTTCCCCGAAATGTTGCCCCACCTTGATCGGAAGCCATAGGAGTATGGTACCTTGCAAAATAAAGGACAGTTAGTACGCGACTTATTGCTGTGTTCATAACTTAGTAATTATAGTGATATTATGCTTTGCACCTGGTGAATGCTGAGAGATTTGATCTTTTCAGAATACTTCGTTCATCATGGATTTCAGTTCCACATCTAGCTGTTTCCGATATCTTCAGACCCAACTCTTGGGATGGCATGTTGATGGGAGAATCGTTTTTCATTTCAGTCCCGTGTGCCATCTTGGAGGAGCAATCAGGTGCATCAGTGATTCTAGCAGCCTGTTTCGATTCTGTGTTTCTGGCTATTGAACTAATCAAATCGGCAGTTTGACTAGTTGGTTCGTCGATGACTATTTTGTTTACGGACTTGTTTTGGGATATGAGATTCTCATGCTGTTTTTCTGTTGGATTAACAGACATCTGATTTGGAGAAGATTGATGCCCAAGACTTGAATTTCTAGGAGCGCCTATTTCTAAGTATTTCCCCATGGAGTCATCTGCATAAGAAGTGGCAGTTGGTTGACATAGACAGTAAAAGGTGTATTTACTTTGTATGAAGGATACCGTTAGCATACGATACCATTATTTTCTTTTTGATTATTGATGTTCCTTTTATTTGCAGTCGGCAACCACCTATTGCTGCCTATCTCTGATCTGGGGTGAATTACTTGCGCACAGGTACTATCAGGTGAATCTGCTAGATGATCAGAAGACACAAGTTGTGGACTATCAATCTCCACAGCACGCTTCGTCCATGAACTCTGCATTTTAAAATAGAACGGTGGCATGAGAATAGAATAGATTTTCAAAAGAGATTTTTTTTAAACAGTGGCACAAACGTTATCATTTTGTTACTCAGTTCTAAGGGTGGACTCAGGGTGAGACGTTAAAACAAAAGGTCTAAAATGCCCACGGTGAACCGGTCTAGGATCTGATCTGGGGTGAATTACTAGGAAGTGCAAAGTATGTGCACTAAAAAATTGTACTTAACACATAGCTTTTCAACCAGCAGAGGTATTTATCCTATTAATTTTGGAAGCGTCAAACAATTGTTCCGAGTAGTATTCAACTAATACCCTTTATATTACATCTATCGCAATCTTCTAATGAGTAAAGGGTACCTTCCAATTTTAAGTAACCAGCATACCTGAGTGCCACTGCCATTATCACTGCCATCCCTAGCATTGGGCCCAACACTAAAGTCGTCGTCAGCATCATCATCGTCATCGTCATCATCATCATGACTGCCGCCACTGTTGTTCTCATATTCATCACCAGCCTTTGGTTTGGAACATTTTTGTGTATGGATGCCACTTTCACTTCCACTGGACTAGATTCCGAGAAAGGCAAATTCCAGAGTGATAATCAGAGAAGATACCCAGATAAATAGGTAGGTCAAAGAAACTATGCCCTCATGACTTTTGGGCTTGGTTTTCCGACATGAAATAAGCTAGACCAACAACAAGCAACTTACACTGTGGCATCGCCTCCATATGTGCTGCCAAAGGGTCTTAAGTTCATTCTTCCGTATCGGCTTCACTAAGAAGTCAACTGCTCCCTTTGATAGACACTTAAAGACTGTACTCATCGAGTCATTCTTAGACATCACTGCACGGAAACAACATAAGCTTTAGAAGCTAAGAATATTTAAACTAAAAAATTAGCAAGGACCCAAAATAAGTGTATTAATCTGTTGGAGCAATATGGTTGAGCAGGAAAGCTACTTACTGATCACAGGAATGCCCTTGCAAATACTGTGACTCGTGATCTTACTGAGTAGACCGATGCCAGATAGACAAGGCATGGCGACCTCAGTTAATACAAGGTCAATACGGTTTTGCACATCTTCAAGATAATGCCATGCATGCAATCCATTCTCAGCAGCGATAACTACAAAGGAAAGATATGCATTTTGCAATCAATGGACTGACGTAATTGAAACAGTTTCAAAGAAAAGCAATATTGATTTAGCTTTCACCTTTGAATATAGAAGGAAAGGCATAATCCTAATAGGAAACAACATAATGTACTGAACGAATTAACAAACACATCAAACGTACTCCCTCCGATTCTTTTTACTTTGCTTATAACTTTTTCTCAGTTTTCTCGTATTAGTCTGTGCGTTGCCGATTCCTAGCGGTGGTTTCCTTTTGTGCCCCGCCCCATCCGCTTCTGCCCTAATTAATTGCGTCAGTTTCCAAGAAAAGAGGCAGCAGCAAAACAGCATGCATTGGCTCATGCGGGCTGGGCGTGCTGCGGAGCCAAGTGCAGCGAAAAAGGAGGAGGACCAGCCAACCATTGCATGCATATCTACCCCTGATACTCATGCGGAGCATTGTTGCGCAGGGGCAAATTAGTCTAGAAAAATCAAACCAGTGCCCTCCTTGGTATGCGGGTCAAGAGTTATGCGCAGAGTCAATAGAATCGGAGGGAGTACAATTTACATTAGGAAGATCCATGACACTTGAATAAAGTTTGTATTTACCCAATATGGGTGTGGCTAGGTCTCACTCGACTAAGACTTAACCAAGCAATGCGCAATGCTCTTTTTCACAACAAGCAATATCAGTTTCCCCTTTTCCACAATAAGCAATTCCAGTATCCCCTTGTATTTTTATTTTTTGGAAAAGGAGGATAACCTCCAGCCTCAGTATCCCCCTGTATAAATGTTGTGATAGATGTATGGTCGCACTATCAGTTCAAAATGAACTCGAAGTGAAGTGAAATCTAAAACTGAAAGAGAGAGAGAACAAAATACAATAACATGAACACTCTGGCCTCTAACAGACCTACAAACTAGAAAAGATCAAAATC